GGCACGATGTATTTGTTGCGCACACAAATCAAGAGCTTTTGCTTCGTGTTGATGATTTTGATAATTTCCAGTATGTATTATTAATTTTAGGATACTCTATGATTTAAACTGTTAAAACTGAACTATTTAGATCTGAAAATGCTCCGTCACCAGTGCGATTCTTATACTCTGACTTTTTCTTTGGTGGTGTACCACCGGAAGTGGATGCGGAAACATCAATGTCTGACTCATTTGTTGGTTGTATTAGTGATGTAACATTCAATGGAAAAATAATTAATTTTGCTCAGCTTAATGATGCACCGGGAGCTGTTATAGGAAGATGTACAGATACATCACTTTCTGGATTTGGTGTGCCAGATTTCAATAACACAAGTAACTTTAAATAATTAACTAAAATTATTAAAACTATTTTTTGTATAAATTCTATTATAGCAAGACCGAAAAAACCTCCGCTAAGGGATGAAGCAGATATGAGTGTGTTGTCACCTATTCTACAAACTACTTCCTCTCCTACATTTGTGCCAGATGAAACAACCTCACCCCCAGAAGGATTATGTGCATTATCAGTAAATCCAGAATTAGATACTGATCTAAATAAAGACAGTGGATTTAGGTTTGGTATGTTAACTGAGAAATCAATCTTATTTATTGTATTCGTTGTAATATTTAACTAAATTATTCAAAAATATAACTATTTTCAGGAAATCAGGTGGGAAGCCGGTTTGAGTATGATTCAATAATGATAAAAACTAAAAACAATAGAAACGAAATTTCAGTAGACGTAAAAACTCTTAGCACAGATGGAATAATATTTTTTGCCCATCAATCTGACGGAACTGACTTTATGGCTATTTATTTGATTGAAGGAAAAGTAATATAACTATATTATATTACAAATAGTGTCAACAATATTTAATTAATCAATCATGTTTATATTTTTTAGGTTAACTATCAATTGAGTTGTAACTCTCAACCAGCTACAATTAAAGCTCAGTGGCCGATTAATGACGGAGAGTGGCATTCTATTAACTGGACTAGATCTAATGCTAATGCCGAGTTATTTGTAGATAGTACACCAGTTGGTTTCAGTACTATGTCAGAATGTAAAAACATAAATTCCCCGTTCTATTTCGGAGGCACTAATCCAACAGCTTATCAAAAAGTTATCGAATTTATAGTAAGAACAAAATACTTGATCAGAACTAAATATAATTATTATTATTCTATGATAACTTCCTTAAACTATAATAACAAATAATATTAAATATATTGTGCTTCTTATAATATTTAAAAAATATTTCAAACACGTAACATGGATATAATTACTTTCAGGGAATGAATGTAACATTTGAAGGTTGTTTACGCAATTTCAAAGTAAACTCTAAAGATTTAGGAACTCCTAGTCATAAATATGGCGTAACCAAGTGCTCAGACAAAGTTGAAGAAGGAGCATTTTTCTATGGAAATGGCGGTTACATTAGATTATGTAAATTAATAATGTTAATTTGGTTCTTACAAATTTTATTTCATATTTAACGAACATTTAATTTCAGTGGAAAAGTTTGTTATTGGTAAAGAAATTGAGATTTTAATGGATATAAAACCAAGAAGTGTTGATGGAATTTTATTGTCAGTTCAAACAGTAAAGAAAACCTTTTTAATATTGGAAATGAAAAATGGAACAATATCATTTTCTGTAGATACTGGTAAAGGTCCAATTTCTACTTCCTTTACGCCAACATCTCCTTACTACTTATGTGATGGCGTATGGCATAAAATTAAAGGTTAGTTTAAAAAAAAAGTTAATGATCATCAAGTATCTCTAGTATTTAAATTACATATTATATATAATATTATATTTAATRAAATATTAACGGATACTGGATGTATAAATGTTGTTATTGCATGTAGGATATTAATTTAATTTTTAACATCGATTAAAATTTTCCATACAACATTTTGTAAATAGTCAGAGTATCTAGTTATTATTATTGTTATTTATTTTTGTTAAATTTTTTACAGCCGTGAAGCTTAAAAACGTTGTACAGTTAGGGGTAGATAATATTTTTGCAACACCAGATCAGTATGGTAAAGGAGGAACATCCAACACTATGTCGAGCAAATCTCTGTACCTTGGTGGTAATCCTATATACAACAATCGTCAATCCAATGGATACTTAGGATGTATACGGAATGTTCAGATAGTTCACAATAATTTACGTGAAAAAAATGTATTTAAGAAGTTTCCAACCCAGTTGGTGCATGGCAATGTGACATTAAGTGTTTGCCCAACAATTTAAAGTTACTATTCCAATATCCTGTATACATAAAAAGCAAATATTATTCATAAATTATTTTTAAATTTATAATATTTTATATTTTTGTAAATAATATTTTTACTTCATGATAATTAATAATAATGACTTGGTCATTTTTATATTGAATAAAATTAAAAAGGTAATTGTACAAAATAAAAGTATCTACTTTTAAAGCCAGTAAGACTTAATTCCGTAAAATTAATAGTATAACAATTAGTCAAAAATTATATGATAACATATTATATTACTTACAATATATTATACTATATAGTACAAAGGTGTATTACATTTACATACTGTATTTAAAAGAATCAAGTATATTACAAATATATATACTTTAATATATACAAAAATTATTTTTCTTATCGTCTGCGTTATGTACTCAAACTAAGATTTTATTATTCTATATTTTATTATTTTAATACTGTTAATAGTTATTATAGCATGGTTATAACCAGTGGTATTTTTCAATAAGTTATTATCTTTGATGCGTGATGCTGTTTAAAAACTGACCAAACAGTACGAGTGTCAAACGTGTTAGTATGTTACTCTTATAGTGTTACTATACACACGTGTACTCGTGAAGTATATGTAAGGTCTTTTAAAGAATTGACAAAACGATGTTGAATTTTAGGAGCTCTAAATCCAGAACTCCAAAAATTTAGTCTAGGGACTAAAGAATAAATAATTAAACTTGTATGCCCACTACCTTAATTCAGAAGCAATTTTCCTGCAGGACGCAACTAGTAGCCATTCAAAATATTGAATGACCCAAATTCTATTCACAAATCTATAACAAGTACCAAACCTTTGGAATGTTTAAATTCGAAAAGTCATTTTTACAGCAGAGTATCGGAGGAGGCATATCCAAATTTTAAAGTTTTATTGAAAAATTATTATTACCATAACAATTAAATGAATCCTTCCTTTCATACAAAATTCTCGTCATCTCGCCACTACTGTAAAATAATAATACGTAATATAACGTCTTTTACGTCATCTTAAACAGTTTAAAAACGAAAATAATTTATTATTATATTATACACCGTGATCAACGTAGGTATTTATAGATTATACTCATAAGTATATTATAACAAGTAAAAATAAAAATTATGCATTTTTACTGTACCTAGCTATTATTATTGTCTGTCAGTAATAATAAATAATAGATACAGACATTTATAGCCAGTAAGTGAATAATTATATTTCTTGCATGAATACGACTGTCACCTATATATACAGAGGTAGTTTCGATGACGGGAAAACCAAGGTCACAAAAATTTTGAAAATTGTCATACAAATTAGTAAATTACCTACAAATTACAATACTATATTGGTGAAGAAATTTCCCTAAAATTCCAATTGGGTAAAATATAACATCAAAATCAATATTTTTTTTTTGTATGCATAAACTATGTATAGTAACTATTTTATTATTTTATTTATTATTTATTGGAGGAAAACGGTCAAGAATTATTTTTTATTGTTTTGGAGGCGAACGGTATCTCGTATTTGGAGGAAAATGGCTACGTAAACCGTGTGGCTTATACCCGTCACCATAATAATATAGATACAATAGTTTAAAATATTCGACTACTGCAATTAAGTCTCTATAAAGTGCGACTGGGACATAACTCACCATCACGTCCTGTGGTRATTATTGCAGGGGCGTAGCTAGGATTTTTTTTGGGGTGGGCCCACTATAAAACTTTTACTCACCGACGGTAATGGCCAATGGGGACTTTTCCTGATTTTTTTTATCAGCAAACTATAATTTCAGTTATCAAGTTATCTAAGTTGTCAATGATTATTCTTATAAATAAATGAATAATTGCTTACTTAAAAATTAAAACAAATTGAACCAAAAAATAAGCACATAGTTTCAAAAGATGCAATTTTTATTTAAGTACCTAAATACTAAAAATTTTACAAAATATTAATTTATATACTCGTAAAGTTGTAATTTATAATATATTTTCAAAGTAAAAATTCTAAATTTCCAACAAAACTTTATCTCGAGAATTTTGTAAGCAACGATTTTATCGATTACCTATTTTTCAATATCATTTTTACGTATCGTCTATCGACTAGTGCGATGACATTTTAATGATGTTACCGTCTTGATACAGACAATGAGACAAATTATTATATAGTGTTATAATAATATTATACTGTTGTAAAAACGTGTATAAGTGTCTGAATATATTATTGGTATTTTTCTAGAGAAAATCTGGGTAGGCCCGGGCCTACCGGGCCTGCCTACTGGCTACGCCCCTAGATTATTGTTAAACGTGATGSTTATTTATTATTTTWGTGAACATTTTTTACCTAAACAATATATCATTCAATCTGCGGTGGAMAATGGGGCGAAAGTGCGATTTGTAAATAATAATAATAAATAGGTATAACGGTTAGTCTCCTTGGTCGGTTGTAGTATAATAGTATGGTATAGGTATTATACTCTTGCAGCAGTGCGGATCGGTCGGCGTACGCAGTGGTTCGCGCGAAATCTGAGCCGGGCCGCTGGGGGCAGCGGGAGGTGGAGGCGGCGTTTGTTTTGCAAAGCTGGGCCGGCCTGTCGTGTGGTATTATATTATTATATAGGTGCACAGCGCTTGGTAGTCGTGTAGGTATATACCATGTACGATTAATTGGCAACGCGTCAATACCGCACGGGCGGCGCGGCGGCTCGAAGGACGCGTAAGGGTACCCTCGTCCGTATACGCGCGCAACTCAGTGCCATTTCGTCCATCAAATCCGCCGTGAAATATTTTTGTCGGTATATTGGGTAACCACCATCACGCGATACGCACAGMACGCTTATTATTACGACCCGCGATTTCGTCACGAGGTGAGTCCAACTGCAGTACATAACTTATTTATAATATTGATAATAATAATATATGTATTCCATAATTACCTATCGTAGCCTGTATTGATTGAGGCGACCGCGTTCTTTTCTGCTGTACGTTTTTGAGTATTGTCTATACGACCGCCGGCCGCGGTTCCGTTCGGTTCGAAAGTATTACGTATCTTTAGTGGTGCAAGACATACACACAGACACACCCGCCTACCGACCCCATCCCGCGGGCCCCGGTGGTTTGCTTGTCATACAATGTATGGTAATAACCGTTATAATACTGACTAGGTACCCTGCGTAAAATGAATTCCGACCACGCGCGATTATCATCGGGGTGATGTTTAAAATTATTAAAATCGTATACAATGCAGTCTCATTAAAACATGTTCGACAAACACCCCCCTCTTCCTGCCATAATCATGATGTAAGTAAAAATTGGATAACTTAATATAAGGTCAGGTGGGGTAAGAGCCTAACGGGGCTAGTGCCTAATTCGGTTATAAAAAATATAATATTTCAATTTTAAAGTTTATTTCATGAAAACTACGGAGTTAAGAAATAATCGAATGTTGTGTTATATTGGCTACACTGTAAGATAAATTAAAATAATTAAATTCTTTCAACGGAATTTGTTTACAGATTTTCATTAGTTTATATGGCAGTTGCCCCGGCTAAGGAACAGCTAGCTAGAATACAACTCTATAAAAATTACCGATTTTGCTCTTACCCCGGTAGCAGGGAAAGTGCAACATTTTTTTTTTTCATTTAATAATTATTTTTCAACCAAAAAAATTATCAAAACACTGCTTTGAATACAAATTTGAATTCCTAATACGTTCATTAATATATGAAAAAAAAACAATGTTCCTAGTAAGAATACAGTAAGATATAATATGTTCCATTAAACTGAGATTTTGCAAAACGGCGTTGCTGTTACCCCACCTGACCTTACATTCAAAGCATCGCTGCGTATAATCATATTGGAGATTATATAATAATAATCATACAACGTGTACGTCATCATACCACAACATCTCGTTCGTGACGATTTTCTCATTTCTCACATCAACCGTTTGGTAAATCGTCATAATTATTTTGTCATGCACTCAGCTGATCTCCGACGGACGCGCAAAATACCTAYCCACAGTACCCACACACACAATATATTACGTCGCTTACGCCTTATTGGTGGATATAAAGCGTAGTGTTTCGACACTTATACACATTTACAATAATTATTTGAGATTCGAGGGGCTAGAGAAAAACGCGTCCAGCGGTATAAGTGTGTGTGTTTGTACTCTGTGGACCATCGTTTTGCAAATTTAATATTGTTCACACCACACCSGTACTACAGCAGTATTTTAATAATATATGACGTGTATAAAATATGCACTACAATACATCATCCGAGTGCGGAGTGGTGGCCAGCAGCGCACCGGGGTGGAGGATGTAATTTTTTTTATCACAGCGTATATAAATAGCATTTCGGATAATCGTGTACACGCCGCCGCCGTCGACTGTTATAAATTCGGACTCGCGCGCGAATTTGGCAAACTTTCCGGGTCAAGTCACAGCTGCGCGCAGCCTCGTCGTTTTCGAACCAAAACTATTCGATTCCGCGGACGCTGGACACACAATAATATAATATACCTAATATATAGGTACATCAATAACTCCGTGCGTTTTATATTATATTTACAATATTGGCGTAAATTTGGTGCAGAGAAATATTTCAATTTGAACCCCCCCCCCCTTCCCCAATTCTTCAACTTCGGAAATTCCCGGTGGAAAATTGTTTTCCTATTTTCCCAGGTATGATTATATTATTAGTAAACATCCTTGTTCGACAGTAATAATTTTATAGATGTATTTGTTCAATTATCAAATGTGGACTTTGGAAAATAGAAACTGTATAGGCATACAAATTTTTATGATTTTCTGGTGATGCAGACATTTGCGCCACTCAATTTAACCACTTTTGGTGTAGTGTATATGTGTATAGTTCTACCCACCTACCTAACCTAACCAACCGCTTTTAATGACAATTTGGTTATCAGTCCATTTCGTTACGTAAATATTTTAAATTAAATGCTATAGGTGATAAATAATAATCAAATTAATTACGAACGTATACAATTAGGTACTTACATATTATTAAAAGCAAAAAAAAAGATTGAGTACTACTAAAATTTAGTTGCCATTACACCTATAGTAATCTATAGTAATAGTGTTGGAGTCACTGATTTAGCACTRTTGTGTTTTATTTATAGGGTCCACGTCGGACGTCGGACACGCGACTATAATTTACACAGATGGTGTATAAATATATAACTCGAATTGTCTAACGACTATTAATTGTTACCAATGAACACATAATTTATTACGTCAAATGTTTTATATAGTATATTGTATAATATTAAATAATAAATATTAATATCGTTAGTCGTCACTCGGTCACTATATTATAATGCTCGGACGGAAATTAATAACAATGTGATGCATTACGCCGTATCTGTACGAATGTATACAAAATACAAATTATTATACGACAAAACATACCGAGTTGAAAATCATAATATTATTTATATATTTTCGCAGTATACAAGTATATTGTTTGATTAAYTAAATTCTGAGTTCTGACGGCGTCTGAGCATACCAACTTTCGGAACAGTTTGACAACGCAGGCGACGTAAGCGCAAGGCCTACGGTGGCATTAATAACTCTTCTAATATTTTCCTTGTTTGTCCCTAGGCAACTTATAATAGAATAAATGTCTCATTTCGAATGACCAAAAAAAAAGAAACTATCGGGAATATTGATACAATACTAAGGTTAAGAGTACGTAACAGTGGTATTT